AGAACTTGGAACTCGAGGGCAGCTTTCCCTCAGAGGTGCTTGCAGCAATTACTGGGACACTGAGACACGTGGCCCCTTAGGGCAGGGCTGAGGATCAGCCATAGCTGTTTGCTCCTCCCTGTTGATTCCCTGAGACCCCACCCCACGTAGGCTGTGGCAGAGGCTTTTGCATATGGATGCCCTGGCCCTTTGCAATCTGAAAATTACCTAACAAATTACAGCTGGGCCAGACAGACCCAGAACTTCCAAGAGAAGGCCTAAGGCCCCACAGCATCTTGCATTGCTTCACAGCTGGGCCTCATCTGGGCACCTCCAAACCCCCCAAAAAGGAAGGGGAATCTGCAGATCTCTTCGTAGCTCCTGCTGGGTAGCCTCAGGCAGAGGCTAAATTAGCACCTCCTTAGATCCAAGAGCCAGTGTACCCAGTGGTCAGAGTGGGACCATCCAGATTACAACTCCTCAGATCCATAAGACACACACTTGAAGCAAGTCTTGCCCCAGAATTTCTCCCACTGCACACACAGCTGATTCTCACAGCCAATTGGCCTGGAGGTCAATTCCTCCCAGTGATAACTACAACCATCAAGGCTTAACTGCAAGAAGACTACAACAAAACTTTGCACAAAGCCTACAAAGGGGTGCACCAAGAGTTTCCACCTCAGGTAATTGGGGAGGCTGAGCCACTGGTCCCTATAGGACACCTAGCACACAAAGCCACTCTACCAACACAGGGAAGCATAAAAAATGCGGAGACAAAGAAACAGGTCACAAATGACGGAAATGAAGGAAAGCAAACGACTGGATATAGAGTTCAAAACCACAGTTATAAGGTTTTTCAAGAATTTTCTGGAAACCGCCGATAAATTTAGTGAGACCCTGGAGGATATGAAAAAAGCCCAACTAGAAATTAAGCATACACTGACTGAAATAAAGAATAATATACAGAGATCCAACAGGAGACAAGAGGATCGCAAGAATCAAGTCAAAGATTTGAAATACGAAGAAACAAAAAATACCCACCTGGAAAAGCAAAAAGAAAAAAGAATCCAAAAATATGAAGATAGTGTAAGGAGCCTCTGGGACAACTTCAAGCGTACCAACATCTGAATTATAGGGGTGCCAGAAGAAGAGAGAGGGCAAGATATTGAAAACCTATTTGAAGAAATAATGAAAGAAAACTTCCCTTACCTGGTGAAAGAAATAGACTTACAAGTCCAGGAAGCACAGAGAACCCCAAACAAAAGGAATCCAAAGAGGACCACACCAAGACACATCATGATTAAAATGCCAAGAGCAAAAGACAAAGAGAGAATCTTAAAAGCAGCAAGAGAAAACAAGTCAGTTACCTACAAGGCAGTACCCATATGACTGTCAGCTGATTTCTCAACAGAAACTATGCAGGCCAGAAGAGAGTGGCAAGAAATATTCAAAGTGATGAATAGCAAGAACCTACAACCAAGATTACTTTATCCAGCAAAGCTATCATTCAGAATTGAAGGTCAGATAAAGAGCTTCACAGATAAGAAAAAGCTAAAGGAGTTCATCACCACCAAACGAGCATTGTATGAAATGTTGAAAGGTATTCTTTAAGAAGAGGAAGAAGAAAAAGGTAAAGGTAAAAATTATGAACAGCAAATACATATATATCAACAAGTGAATCTAAAAATCAAGTGAATAAAAAATCTGATGAACAGAGTAAACTGGTGAATATAATAGAACCAGGGGCATGGAAAGGGAGTGGACTGACAATTCTTGGGGGTAAAGGGTGTGGGGGTACAGGAAGAGACTGGACAAAAATCGTACACCTATGGATGAGGACAGTGGGAGGGGTAAGGGCAAAGGGTAGGGTGGGAACTGCGTGGAGGAGAGCTATGGAGGGGCGGGGGGGGGGGGGAGAGGAACAACTGTAACAATCTGAACAATAAAGATTTAATTTTAAAAAAAATAAAGCCTATATGACACACCTACAGCCAACATCATACTCAATGAGCAAAAATTAAAACCATTTCCCCTAAGAAGAGGAATAAGACATGGATGCCCACTTTCACCATTTCTGTTTGACATAGTACTAGAAGTACTAACCATAGTGATCAGACAAGAAGAAGAAATAAAAGGCATCCAAATTGGAAAAGAAGAAGTAAAACTGTCATTGTTCGCAGATGGCATGGTATTGTACAGAGAAAACCCCAAAGACTCCATCAAAAAGCTACTCGACTTAGTAAATGCATTTGGCAATGTAGCAGGATACAAAATGAACACCCAGAAATCTATAGCCTTTTTATACACCAATACTGAACTCACAGAAAGAGAAACTAAAAAAACAATCCCATTTACCATTGCAACAAAAAAATTAAGATACCTAGGAATAAACTTAACTAAGGAGGTAAAAGACCTGTACTCAGAAAACTACAGGACATTGAAAACAAAGATAGAAGAAGGCATAAACAAATGGAAGAATATACCGTGTTCATGCATTGGTAAACTCAACATCATTAAAATGTTCATACTACCCAAAGCAATCTATAGATTCAATGCAATCCCCATTAAAATACCAATGGTAATTTCAGAGACCTAGAAAAAACTCTCAAAAATTCATACGGAATAAAAAAAAAAAAAAGAAAGAAAAGATCCCGAATAGCTGCAGCAATCCTGAGAAAGAAGAACAAAGTTGGAGTGACCTCAATACCAGATACCAAGCTATATTACAAATACACTGTTCTCAAAACTGCTTGGTTTGGGCACAGACATATAGATCAATGGAACAGAGCAGAGAACTCAGAAATCGACCCAAGCCACTACGCTCAATTAATTTTTAATTTAATTTTTACCTCAATTAAGGAAGATAAATTGTCAGATTACATACAAAACATTCATTTTAAATTTTGAAAATATTTCTTTTGTATAATAATCAGGCAATAAATCTTTAGACTTCAAACAATTGCACTTTGAAAATAAGACCGTAGTGAATGGCAGAATGACAAGATGGTTAGCCAACTAAAAAAAAAAAAAATCAGTTGCAGATGAGTTCTGACATTTTGAAGTTTGTGATAGAATACTTTTAAAAGACAGCTCAACTGTCTTAGTGTCTATCAATGAGGGAGGTCCTCTGAAATGCAACTGCTTGGTCTCTATATCAGTGCTTGGACAAATTACTAAAATGTCTAGCCCTCTATAGGCTTTACTGTATCTATAAATTGTAGTTACTGGCCTCCACCCAGAGTCAGAGGTTAGAGATTAGCCCAAGAGCTGAGTCCTTACTGAAACAGATGTGTTAGGTAGACTAACACATACCATTTTGTGTTCCTTCAATACCATTTTCTCTGAGCTCATTCCAATTCACATTGCTGTGATCTTTTGGATTTCATTGAATGTGACACATGAGGATGCTATAATAAAGACTTTGATAAAGGTTTTCTAGAGTCAAGGTGCATGTTTAGGGCATTGTGTTTCTTAGTCCATAGAAGTTGTTATGAAAGTTAAGAAAATATATTCCGATCTCAAGTCAGACTTAGAACTGGCATCCCTGAATAAGGCTGTTTCACGAGGAAATTGAGTACCCTGTGGTCAAAGGAAGTGCTGTATTTCTTGTAAGTTCTTTGTTTTCATGGAAAGGCTCTCTGGATCACAGAGTGTATTTGTTTCAAGATAATTCAGTTTAAAGTCACTCATGCTCAGAAGTCTCCTGAAAAGCCTTCCTTCAAGTTTTATAGTGAATGTTTTATAGGCAACACATACCTGATGAATTTTGAAAAGTCATTCATATGCCATCAATTTTAATAATCAGAGCTGGGTTTCCAAAGCCTACATGGTTCTGTCATATGGCATCTGTAATTAATAACAATGCTATTTTAAAACAGTAAGAATATTTTAATAATAAATCTTTCTTAACACTATTAAGAGGCAAATGCTTAGCTGTAAATTATGGGTTGAGGAGATTCAGCTTCAAATGAATTTTCCTTTTTTTTTTTTTTTTTTTTTTTTTTTTTTTTTTAAGCTTTCTTGCAGTTTAGATATGCTGCCATCAGGTGGTAGTAATATGTCACATCCATGTGGCTCCACAGATGACATTCTGCTTAAGGTCACTAGTTTAACCCACAAAGATTTATAATCATGAATGTACAGATTTTTATATAAAAAAATAAAATAACATAGTATATCTATTTCATATCAGAGCTAAGGATACTTTGAATGAAACTTTAAAAACTGGTATATATTGGAAGGTTCAATTGGATACATTTTCTCTGTTCCTAGTTTGTTTATTTAATGAAGATTTAGAAAACATAGAAAAATAAAATTAAAAGCACCAAATTTTATAATTCAAAGATAATTGCTTTAACCTGTTGTTTCATTTCCTTGTAGTCTTTTTTAATTTGCAATATTCAGTATGTTTTTGTTTTTTGGAGTAGAGTTCAATGGCAGGAAGAGGTACTTAGCGATATATATACATATATATATATATATATATATATATACACACAGAGTGTATATACAGCATATATATTTTTCAACTTTTAAAATGACAAGCTCATGGTATCTGCTTTGTGACCTCTTAATATTCCATTTATTGAAGTTTTTCATAATTTTATATAGTCATTGCCTATTAGTAGACTATGTACATTTCTGGTCTTCAGCCATCAAGAGTATTTTGTCTCTGCCTTTTATCCACTGCCTATCAAGAAGACCATTATTTCATTGTATCTATACTTCATATTTGTTTTAACACAAAATAATTTCTAATTTATCTCTGAGCAGCTAAATATCTTGTATTTCCTCTATTGCATTTGAAATGAAACTTCCAGAAAATTTGAACTTTCAGTTTCAATTATGATTGAAAATATATAGTCTCTTTGTTATTATTTCATATCATATGAATGTTTTATAATTTTATAAATTGTATGTGATCAGGTACCACATATAAAGATTTCAGGGCCTGTGATATTATGAGATGAAGCTATTACCTACTTTCTACCAAAATAATTTTTTTCTTTTCTTTTTTATAGCATAGAACATTGCATTAAAGAAATACAGTCCGAAGTCAACAAACAATGTCCAGATGTGCAGTTGCAGACAACAACTGACTGTTTTGAATGGTTAAATAACTATAATTATAATTCATCCAAGTCACCTTCTATTCCCCATGGAGATTTGATAAAATTTCTCAAAACACTGGTAAAAAATATATACATATATATCTTTGCTTTATAGTGGAGTGGGATGGGTGAACAAGGAATACAATTTATTCAATTTCTATTTGTAAATAATATTTATTTTAGTGACCATATTAGCTTGGCATTTCTAGGGATTGGGGCTTATGTTTTGTTTTGTTATTGTATCCCCAATGTAATCCAGTGAACTATTTGGGTTTTTTTTTCTATGATTTTTATCAATAAAATGAAGTTTTATATAAGTGGAGATTAAACATAACTCTTGGTTGATTTATAATGTAATGTATACCACAAAGTATATATCTGCCACATTTGCTTACCAGAAAAGTTTATATTTCTTACATTTTGTGTTCCTTCAATACAATTTTCTCTGAGCTCATTATTAAGCATAATCAGATCACAATTGATTGCATCTATTAAGTAGCCTTGTCTTATCATTCCCTTCATCCTTAACCTGGAGGTATGCCCAGTTATTTTCAATCAAGGCAGCAATTTATATGAAGCCACTGTTAATTGGTAGAGAATTATTACATTGGTAATTTCTTGATACTGACAACCCTCTATGTTAAATAAGATTTTGTAGCCAAAGCCGGTTTGGCTCAGCAGATAGAGTGTCGGCCTGCGGACTGAAAGGTCCCAGGTTCGATTCCGGTCAAGGGCATGTACCTGGGTTGCAGGCACTTCCCCAGTGGGGGATGTGCAGGAGGCAGCTGATCGATGTTTCTCTCTCATCGATGTTTCTAACTCTCTATCTCTCTCCCTTCCTCTCTGTAAAAAATCAATAAAATATATTTAAAAAAAAAAAAAGATTTTGTAGTCTTCAATAAAAACATTTATTTTATGACTCCTGTATCCACAAAGGTGGTTAGCTTGCAAAAACTATTTCCCAAGAAACAGCACAAGTGTTAGAAAGCAGTATTTCCATAGCTATGGTTTTGATTTAATTTAGGGAAAAAAGGGGGCACCGTTTTTGTCTAAACATCAAACATTGACTAAGGCAGATGTGGAAAATATCTTGAGGTTGTAGATGGCTTAGGATGATAGAATCAGATGAAAATAGTTTTTGGCTGTTGTTATTATTGCAGATGTCTCTTTAATGTTTAACAAGTAATAAATGAAAGAGAAAGGAAGACTATGTGCCCTGAAGCCTTATTCTTTTAAGAAAATCCTCTCACCCATTATCTCTTGAAGGTGGAGCCTTGAAGAATAAATATGGATATAGTTATTCCTTTAATTTCTATTAAGAGGCATGTGTATTGAATTTCATTAATATTGATGTAATAATGCTTTCTCATTTAATTAAAAGCAAAAGCTTTTAATTATCTTTTAATCTGTCACACATAAGTCATTCCGTATTCACTGCAGGGCAAAAGCTGCCTTAGTTTTGCTCAAATTCATTAGACTGATAGACTTATTTGAGATCTAGGTTTTTTTCACATAATTGATCATGTTATTTTGAGGGAAGAGCACATTATTAAAACAGATCCAGGTTAAAATGACCTTATTATCAAGTTTTTACTTGATAAAGTTGTCCATCATTTGTCCAGCATTTTTCATACAAATATTTTTTTCATAGAAAATTTTCTATTTATTACTTATCTAGCTGTTTAAATAAGAAACAGAGGTCCTCATTATAGCAATTATCCTGAAGTTATTTTCAAAATGTAAGCAATCATACTAAATACATATTTTAAACCTCTGTAATCTATTATACTTGATCAAATATTTACAGTTATTTACCACCCTCTATTTTAAATGCAAACCCAAGATTGCAGCACTAATATGATTCACTTGCTTTATAGAATTTACTAAAATACTGATGTCCTGGACTCTAAGGACATTTCTTTTCCATAAGTATCAAAAGAACTCAATCCATGGAGAAGAAAGAGAAGGTGCCGGAAGGCCAATACACTTTATGGCTCCACAGAGTGTAGCAGGTTGAATGGGGACAAGGAGAACAAAGCTGGGATTCATGCTGGATTCTACACTTTATTGTGTGTGATGTTTAGAAAGTCACTTAACATGCACTTCAGTGTCCTTATCTGTAGATTGGGATTTTAAATATCTATGCTACATTTCCATAATGAATAAGATAGAGACTGTATAGAAAAGTGCTTTTAAAATGTTTGTTTTTATTGATTTCGGGAAGAAGAAGGGAGAGGGAGAGAGAGATAGAAACATCAATGATGAGAGAGAATCATCGGTTTGCTTCTTCCTGCACACCCACTACTGGGAATTGAGCCAGCAACCCGGGCATGTACCCTGACCAGGAATCCAACTGTGACCTCCTGGTTCAAGAGTCAACACTCAACTACTGAGCAACACTGGCCAGGCGAAAAAGTGTTTTTTATATTATAAAATACAGTATTAAATCAGACATTACAGTGCTTAGAATGACTGAAAGCACATTCCTGGAATTTGTCCAGGAGTTGTAATCTGTGGTATCTTTGTCAATGAAAATTTCAAAAACTTCCTGATCTTAGGCCATTTGAGCCTTGCTTCCATTTTTCTTGCATTCGGCTTGTGGCTACCTAGAGAATATAAGCTAATTTCAGTATTAACTGAAATACACATAATTAGGGAAGTCATCATGTAAAGGGAATGTGTACATGTAAAATTTAAAGTCCAGAAAGAAAGTAATTTTTTTTGTCCCTTTACTTTTCATAATTACACCTACCATTGTTTTCTCTCAGCATGAAAAGTATAATGAAATTCTCTCATAGCGTCTTTTGGGGAATGATTCTGAGAGTATTGTTTCCCTATTTTGACTTAGTTATTTCTTTGGAGAAATACAAATTGAAATTTTCTCAGATTAATTTCCAAAGTAAAATCTTTCTTGACATGGCTCTCACAAAGGAATTTAAATGAAAGTTAAAGTCTTTAAATGTGTTAAATTTTATTTCTCAGGATGGCAGCTATTAGTAACCCCTGGGCACATGCTATATTTAAAGGTCTCCATTTTTATATTCATTTGGAGTTTTATAATAAGTATACTCATTCAGGCATGAAAATTATCCACCAGCAACTAATTAGGGTGTGATCTTGAGCTTATTTTAGGAATACACTTCAATTGATATTTTACTATAGGTTTTTCTTTAGAATTTTCGAGCTGCGATTTTTATACTACCTACATTGTATCAGTGGTGGATAACAATGAAGGCTAAAATCTATATGTCTAGAAATCTAATTGAAAATATAGTTCATCCTCTGGGCTTTGCAAATTTAAACAATTCATAAAGCTAACACTCTAAAATGTCTGACCTGATTAAATGTCAAATGCAAAAATAAAAAAAAAGCCCACCTTGAACAGCATCAGAGTATTAATTCTAATTTGAAATGAATTATCAAATTTTATATGACTGCAGAAATCTTTTTTCCTGCTACTCCTTTAATTAATCACATTTCTAACGTTATAATTTCCTTCCATTAGCAAGATTTGTTGAAGAATGAACAAAATCAAGAAGAAATGATATTGGATTTACTTTGGGACCTCTCCTGTCAGAGCAGCATTTCATTTCCATCAACTCTAAGTTGGACATCTTTCCACTTCCTCTCTAGGACTTCTCTTCATTCTGTTGAAGATCATTCCTCTATGGATGTAAAGTCTATATGGGATGATATCAGATTGCATCTCCGACGCTTCTTAGTGGGCAAATTACAAAGCCATAATGAAATAAACAATTTGCAGCAGAAAATTCTGTTGAAAAATCAGTGCATACAACAACTCTTGTTTCTTTATCCAGAATCAGAAGTTATAGTCAAGTATCAAAATATACAGAATAAACTTCTGCAGAACTGCTTTCCTTCTTATAGCAGGGAATCGAATTTAGATGTAATGGTTCAGGGATACCAAAGTACAATGCTTAGGTTATACTCAATGATAGAAGAGGATTTTAACACACTGCATGAGATTTTAGCTCCATCCTCAACAGTGAAAGTCATTAAAGAAACCTACCTGGATACTGTTACAGAAGAAATGTCAAAATTTCTTGCAAATTTTTGTGAGCTGCAGTTCAAAGAAAGTGCTGCCCGAGTGACTAAAACAAGCAAGAGTTCCAGCAGGCACAGAGGAGCAGTGCATGCTTTGGGTTAGTGACTTTTAAAATTTCTGTTTGTCTTAACTTAAGGCTTTTGATATCTTTTATTTTCTAGCATTTTTCTATTTAGTGAAACCTAATTGAAAACTTGAAAATAAATAAGAAAATAAATATTATGAAATTTAGTTACACATTTTTCATATGCATTTCCTTTTCTGTAAGTATAGTAATAGAAGTGTTTTCTTTCCTGTTGTTTAAATTATTAAAACTAATGGAAATGTAAGACAAAAATATTGCCAATAGGAACTTTGGTTTTTTGATTGCAAAAATTTTTCAATGAAACTGTGTGTCTGTGTGTATATATACAGTGCATATACATATAAACACACACATATATCTATATAATGGAAAAGTATTATTTTTAATCCATTGTATGTTCCAAAGCCGAAGTATTATTACATAAAAAGAATTATTGAAAATTTGTTGAAATTGGCATTATTTAGAACTGGAGGTTTAAGATTATAATATTTCAGTCAGTCAATTCCAATAAAGAGCTATTATGAAATACTAATTATAAAATTATATATAATTGGTTACAGAGGCATAGCAATTTAACTACAGCTGATTTTAAAAGTTCCTTTAATACTGCTATAAAATATATACAAATAGAAGATGATTTGAAAATCCCTAATTTTATTCAAAATAGAGACAAAGGAAAGAAACTATTGTGATGCAATTAACTCTTTCCTGTCATCATTTAAATTTCCGACCAGTGGAGAAAAATCAAGGTAAAAAACATAATTATTTTGAAAATTATGATTAGACATGCTTTTACATAAGACTCAGGTATATTTCTAAATAGGTTTATAAACTATATTTTTTAAGTATTTGAAAATTATCACTTGCTGAATTGCTATCTTTGACTTCGTGATCAGTTTATACCAAATTTATATAGCTCACTATATTTTTGCTTATCTTCCTTAATAAAATGCAAGAGTACCAAATTACTCTGCTATATGAATTTTCAAATAATTGAATGTTTTCTCTTGAAATTTTCTGTTTTGCTCCAGAAGTTGTAACACATCACAAAGTAGAGCTGCGTCAGCCAATTTTAGGTGATGTCAGAACATAAAATAGGTTAATTCAGGAACAGTACAATTTTACTCAAAGCAAATAGATTTTCATTTTAATTGTTAACACAAATTTTAAAAGCACTACATGAGTATACCTATTTTCTAAATTTCTTATATTCTCTAAAAGAATTTCTGCTTTCTTATAACGTGTTTTCAATGTGAAAGTTTTTTATGTGCTAAAAATAGTTTATAACAGAAGAAAAGATCCATATGGGTGAAAATATGTGTAAGTTATTTGGTGTCTTTAAGGCTGATATTAAGGTGTTTTCCCGTTTGTGAGAGAAAACTATGTATGTCGGCTTTAATAACAAAATTTGAAACATTTTCCACAAGTCCAGGTGCACTGATCTTTCTCAAACTCCTTTATCTGAACTTTGGTATAAATCACTTGTTACATGAATGAGTTCCATATGTCAAGCACTGTGCTAAGTACATTACATTCCTTATTATCCTAATTTCATAAACAAGGAAAGCAGCTTAGATTAGCTTGCCCTGGATCATATTGTACAGAGGCAGAATTCATATGGAGATCTTTATGTCTCTAAGACCTATATTATCAACCACTATGCTATTGGATCTTTTCTGAAAGTGTATAACTAAATGCTTGTCATTTGTAAGAGAAATTTTAAACAGTACTGTTTGGGTGGGCTCCCTGAAAATTCAGTTTAGCTCTAAGCCAGCCATTTAGCAGCTACCAGGTCTAAAGTTCTGAGCTAGACATATTAAAGGAAAGAAAACCAAATGAGTAATTGCCACTAATGCTGTATATACTGCTAACCCAGCTCCAAATTGATCAACATTACTAATATTTGACCCAGTGACCAAATTTTATTTATTAAGGAAATACAGTTTAAAATGAGTAAAATGATAACAATTTGTTCATATTTATTAATAAAACTTATGATAATTTATTTTAAATAAAATCTAGATTGGTTTGAATGGGTTGTATGTTATATTATCTTTAATATATGTTTACTAGAGATCCAGTGCACAAAATTCGTGCACTCTGGGCCGGGGGGGTGGATGGGTTGTTCGTCAGCCCAGCCTGTACCCTCTCACAGTCCAGGAGCCCTGCGATCGATTGCCCCAAAGAGGTAAGCCCTGCCCACCCGGCTGGGGCTCCGCGATGGATCACCCCTGCAGTGGGAGGCCCCACCCACCCGCTACAGCCCATCTGTCAGTGGCCTGGGCCTCCCTCTTTGGGGCGATCATTGAGCTCCCCAATTGATCAATCGCTCTGCCAACCAGTGACCTGGGCCTCCCTCTGCAGGGCGCTCATGAGGCAATGGCACACACCCCCCTCCACCAATTGCATCGCACCCACCTTGGCTAGCCTGGCACCAGTGCATGTCATAGCATGGTGGTCCAGAAGGTCATCTGGATGGCCATTCTGCTGTTCAGTCATTTGGTTGATTTGCATATTACACTTTTATTATTATAGATATCTTTATGCTCACCAAGTCCTTGATATTTTTTCTGAAACTAAAGAAAAACATTCCTTAAGTAACAATAGCTAACATTAATTGGGTCAGACATTGATGTACATTATCATATTTAACCTTTCATTATCTCAACTACCCAACAGGCTAGGTACCATTGTTTATTATTTGTATTGTATAGTGAGAAAACTAAGGCATGGAAATATTAAGTAATTTACTCAAGGTTCCCAAGTGAAGCTAGGATTCAGACTCAGGTCTCTCTTACTCCAGAGACCTTACGCTATGACAGTGTTCTACTGCCTAAAAAAACAGGACAGAAATAGCGCATTCCATTAAAAACACTCTTCTGTGTGCTAACTCTACTTTAGGGTCATCTTTGTTTTACTTTTATCTAAACTATCCTACACTCTTCTCATTTGAAAACTACATATTGCCAATTTGAAAGTTTTTGCTTATAATTCCTATTTTGTGATCTGTTGATATATCTTAAGCCAGGGGTCCTCAAACTACAGCCCGCGGGCCACATGTGGCCCGCCGAAAACATTTATCCGGCCCGCCGGGTGTTTTTGCTGGTGCTGCCTGTCCTGCTTAGCAGCTGACTCGTCCCGGACCCGCAGTGCGCATGTGTGGAATATCTGAGGGACAGTGACTGGCCCCCTGTTTAAAAAGTTTGAGGACCTCTGTCTTAAGCTATCCTGGTATATATGTGAGCCTCTTTGTTTCAAGATTTATTGAGATATAATTAACATCTAACATTGTATAAGTTTAAGATGCACAGTGTTTTGATTTTATACACATATATATTGGGAAATAGTTACCATTGTAGCATTAGCTAATACCTCCATCACATCACATAATTAGCATTACTTTTTAGTGGTGAGGAGGGCAATTGAGATCTATTCTTTTAACAGTGCTCAAGTATATAATATACTAGAGGCCTGGTGCATGAAATTCGTGCACGGTTGGGGTGGGGGGGTCCCTCAGCCCAGCCTGCAACAACACCAGCGTCCCTCACCCCAGGCTCTGGCCAGAGGCCCCTTCCCCACTCCACACAGCCGGGGTGCGGATACTGGGCTTGTGTCGCCAGGGGCAACGCAAGCCCAGCGTCCTGCACCCAGGGGTCCCTCCCGCCCTCCGCGCAGCCGAGGAGCAGATGCTGGGCTCGCATTGCCGGGTGACGCTGCCAGCGTCCCGCCCTGGCCGCTATGGGCACCGCCATCTTTGTTGCGGAGTGATGGTTAATTTGCATATTACTCTTTTATTAGATAGGATTATTGCTAATTATAGTAATAATTCAGCATATTTGATTACCAGAACTTACTTATATTCTAACCCAAAGTTTATACCCTCTAACCAATATCTCTTCTTTTTCCTCATCCCTTGATAACCACCCTGATACTCTCTGTTTCTACAAGAAAATAATCAAAAAGTCTAACATTCAAAAATTGTTTCCTTAAGGAATTTGTGGTGTTTTAAGTTCTTTCCACTAAATGTTGTATAATCTGTGAAAATTATTTATTTTATTAAAAGCTATCGGAAAAAATGACTGACTGTATATGTGTATGAGAGGCGGGTGTATGTTATGTGCTTGAGTAAATATGTAGTATTATGCATAAGTGCATATATCTTTATTTAACTAAAATGTTTTCTGCTGCATGGACTCTATTTTTCTGACCCAATTATTCACCATTAAATGTTATGAGGCCTCTGAATTTTTGTTCTAAAGACAGTAAGACAAGAAAGATGGAACATATACTTTGCAAGAGAAAGTAGATACAATTTGAGTTCTATTTTTGCTTTCATACAGCAACAATTAGCAAATACTAAATTGCACTCAATTATTGACTTCCTCCCTTTTTAGAACACCTGTGTGTTCTTCCTAAGGGTGGAAAGAATATTTCACTTGTTACATCCTCTAATTATGACATTCAAATACTGAGGATGATAGATAAAAATGACTCATATTTTGGTTTCTCCTGGAGGGTCATAGGTCAGTTTGAGATTTATATACCTTATTAACCATTCAATCACATTTTTAAAACTGATAAACTAAAAAAGAAAAGATTAAGATACTGAGATTTTAAAATCATATTTTTAATCTGGACAAAGAAATTGTCTAAAGCTATAAGTATGTTAACAGCAGAATAAAAATTATTGCAAAAATACTGAAAAGTTTAGACTAAAATTATTCTAAAAGTGGACAAATTCACTTTGCAACTATTCTATATTAAACAAAGAATATGAACAAATAATAAACATGAGGTTGCTGCAAGCCAGAAGGTCACATTCTATAGAAAGTCAGTTACTAACTCACTATGGAACATTCCTGAAATTTTTCTGAATTCTGTTCTCTGTGAAAATTATTTGTTACTCTCTATCTTGAACTTATGAGCATAAAAGTAAGTGCTAATTCTTAGGTCTCTTGTTTTATATAAAAACTAGAGGCCCAGTGTATGAAAATTCATGCACTGGATGGTGGATCCC